ATCAAAACTTTTTGTTTTTGTACCATTTCGTACATTTTAAAGACTACTTTATTATATGTAAAAATAAGAAAAAGTTAAATATAAGAAGTATATGAAAATAACTTATATATCCTAAAAAATTAAGAAAAACAGAGAAAATTCGGATTAGCCAATATCCAGTTAAGATAAATCATTTATGTAAATTTGGTTATATCATGCTATACACCCGATATAGTAATATGTTTTTATAGGAAAAAGGTAATGACCTTGACCTGACCTTGCCTCTAATATAAAACGGTCAAATTTAATTTCACTGACACTATCACTTACTGATATTGTCTTCTTGATTCTGTGAAAATTTCATTATTTTTTAAATATTAGAAATATGAGAAGAATCCTACCTTAAGCAAAAAATCGTTTAACAAATAGGAAAGTATCAGTGGATGTGAGACTGTTCAGACGTTCGTTATAACAAATAACGGAATTCGTTTAAACGAATTCAATTCCTTATAACAAGTTTTAGAGTCTGTTAAAACGAGTTTAATATGTATTAACAAATTTTTGAATTCTTTGTAACGAAACCAACAAATTTGTTATAACAGATTAAATTCGTTATAACGAAGTCAAAGAAATTGTTATTACGAATTAAATTCGTTATTACAAATTCGACAATTCGTTATATCGTATTCAAAAATATATTTCGATAGGTCCTAAATGGGCTTCTAGTTTTGCATTAGGGGATCTGTACGTTGGTTATGGTCAAAGACAAATATATAAAACCATAACATCACAGATCTGCAGCTAAAGATCCGTTTAAACGAACTTAATATGTCATTTAAAAATGAATTTGCCATAACGAATACTGCAGTAGTCAACAAATTTGTTTTAACACACTCAATTCGTTATAATGAATTTGAAAACATGTATAATGTAAGAGATTTGTTGAATTTCATTTGGTTACCGCATATAAATTATCAATTAAATTCGATAAAGCGATTTCAAAGAAATTTGCGAGTTATAATTTTTTTTTCATGTCGAATTCAAATTTTTTTCGAGGGATCCTAAACTGGTTTCCTTAATATTTACTTCCGTATAGCTTGCGACTATTTACATTTACACACGGAAGAAAATATCAAAGGATGAGGTGACTTGCGACCCCCGGTAAATTGACAAAGAAATGTCTTAATTTTACTCAAATGTTTGTATGTAACTAATCACTGATATGTGTACCTTTATAGAATACTATTTTAAACAAAAATAGAAACGTGATTTGAAAGACATGGATCTTTTATTGGGATAGGGGTATCATGTTTACATCCTATTCCCATTGCATTTTAACCCCGCCCACTCTTTGAAGCCCTTAAAATATACGAGCGCAGGTAGGTACAATTTTCTCCTATGGTTGGACATTGTATTTTATTAAAATCTACCGATACGTGAAAGGGGAAAACTGTACCTAAATGCGCTCACATGTATTTTTTTTAAAAAAAAATGTAATATCTAGCTGGCCTTTCCCATTATGAACAGATCGACGGAACTAAGTTTTCTGACGTAAGAATAAATTCATGTACTGGCGATACTTTTACGAGTGAGTACCACAAAAATACTATGGAAACATGCTTGGAATTGTACTACTTTCCGTTATTTTTTATGCATTTGAGTCACAGATTAGACACGGATCGACATATGTACAATTCCCGAGATCACAGTAAAATTTATATACAGTTATAAACAATTGACGAATATACATTAGTGTAGTTTTGTAGCATTTTTGGTGAGCGATTCGCTACGTTTACATGTATTCCCGATTATCAGTTAATACAAGTTTCATGTGCATTTCTTGTCCTAAAATACGTAAATGCTGAAAATCCATGCGTATTTTTAAGTATAAACAGCCTTGACTGACCATCATGAAAGTTTGAAATGTAGAAAGCTATAACAGAAAAATTGACCTAAACCACGTGTATTCGTCTTCATTTAATATACTTCATTGTTTGTGTGATTGAATTTACGTTTGTAAAAGAGATAATCATAATAATTTATTTAAGAAACTGTATCAATTTAAAAGAAGATAGAATGAATTTACAAGAAAAAAGGAACATAGATGTAAGGAAAAAATGCAGAATGATAAAAGTTCAAAGTGAAATTTAATGAAGACGAATATGGCAACAATAAAGTGACATATAGTTACAATAATAACAAAGAATAAAGAAGTAGGCAGAATGAGAATAAACAGCAAGATAAACAGACTTTCGGCGGCAATTCCCTTCCATACTTTCATGGAAAAGATTTCAAGCATTTCTAATCAAATTGATATTAAGATTTTGATGCATTTTTTTTGAGTATTTCTTGTAATTTTTATATATACCAATGTATATATATAATTCTGAGAGAAGGTATTGTTCAGTTTATGAAAATGATTATGAAAACATCATTTCACTTGCTATAGCAACGAAATACACCACAATCATGCAGGAACTTCCATTTATAAAAGAATAAGTTATCATTCTAGTTTTTTGTTTTTGTTTATTTTTTTTTTTTTTGGCTTAGTTAGATATATTAAAAAATATGCTATTGTTGTGTTCAAAATTATGAGGTTGTTGTAGCTTTTTTTGGTTTTGTTTTTGAAAAAACAATTTTAAGTATTTTGGGGGATGGGATGGAGTTAGGAGGTAAACACCATAATTAAGCATTTTTTACATATTACGTGTTACATGTACCCCTGCATTGATTTCGATAGCAGCAAAAATCTGAGACAACCAAAAAATTATGTATATTATTTTATTGTAATTATTTTCTCTTTCCAACGGTGCAAGATTTATTTTGATATTTCCAGTATTAATGAAGTTATTAATGTTTTTTCACACTATACTCGTTTTTCAAGTCAAATGCGTAGAAATGCGTATACATTGTATATGCCATGTAAGTGGTTAAATCACGTGACCTTTGTAATAAATTTCCGTTTCTGAAAAATAGGAAATACATACTGATACACAAAGTTCGAAAGAATCTCCAGTTAGCTGTTACAAGAGAGACGGAATTAAGATATCGTGTTAAAAATCACCAAAAAAGCAGTAAAAAATACGGTAAGAATATTATTATAATTATTTATTTAAAAAAAAAACCATGCGTAGCCTTTAAGAAGGCGTCTACACCCTTTAATATATTCATAACAATATTTTTCATCAATGGCAGCTTCGAAGATTTATTCAAGAAGGAAAGGGTTCTATAAGATTGAGCGGTGTTCAGCATTATGGAATAAATAAACTAAAGTCTGGAGATATCTTTTATTTTTTAAATGTTCTACATTGAATTTCGAGATAGATATAAAATGTAGGTATTAAAGTATAGATTCTGGGAAAAGTGAAAATAAAATGTTTCATTATCCGTATGAAGATAAGTGGCAGTTTTGACAATTAGTCCATTTATGTACTTTTTAATAAGAAACAGAAACATTAGACAGTAAAAGTTTATCTTTTAAAAAAAAAGAGAGGTGAGCTAGCGCACTAACAATTTTTAAACATAGAAAGGAAGGTCCGTGATCAAGTGTTTTATTTTGCTGAATTTTTAAAATGTTTATCGAGGCTGGGGTGGGAAAAGTGATCTTTTTTTGTGAAATGTATAGGTAAAAATACGAGGCAAGGGGGGGGGATGAAGTTTTTCTGTTGACACATTGGAGTTTCCAGAGTGTTCCGAATGAGAAGATGTGAAGTAGCTTGACCCTTTGGGCCATCTTTTTAAGAACTGTTATTTTAAAAGCCATACACAGATTTTTTTGTATAAATAATAGATTTGTTCGAATTTTTTAGTGTAAATCCTTGTTAATGGAAATTTTTGCTTGTCCTACATTGTCATGATTGCAAACATAAAGAATATGAAAATATTTTTACCAGCCACGTAGCACCGGTTTTGAAAGTGGGGGGGGGGGGGCAGCCAGAAAATCTCTTTACTTACCTGAAGTTGACCTACTTCTGTCAGTACCAATTTTTTTATACTACATTTCCTTACATCAAAAAAGTGCAGGGGGGCAACAAACTTGAAAAATAATTAGAAACATTTCATTTACATCAGCAGTTTAGAATTCTGTTCTTCCAATGCATTTGAAAGACATTTCTTTAAGCGTATATATATATATATTCAAATTTCTTCAAATGTTTATTTCAAAAAAGTGTTTTATACTTTCTGCAAAACTGTGTATTTCGGTAAAAACTCGTCTCCTCGTTACTTCCGTTCTTTAACCTTTGATCAGGTTAAAACGCTGACATCCTTGTGAAAAACCAGCAATAAGGACTGTTGAAGTGCGGTAACCTTCATGAGAGTTGGGGGTTAAAGTAAAAAAAATATTCAGTCTACAATATGAGTTGTTGATTTTAACATAGGCACTTGGGGTATGGACCCACCCCCCTTTTTCCATTATTTTTCTTTTTAAATCTGGGTTCGAGTCACCTTTTTTCTATTTTTCTGTTCTAATATACACTGCATGTTATCAAAAATGTAACTCTCCTGTCTCTACAAGCTGTTTTTAAGTATGTCGTTTCTACTGATACATATAAAGCTCTCTTTATAGTGGGGTAGATTTTATAAAATTTTAGTTTAAGCAAATTTTCTGAATTGATAGGAATGATTATATCACAAATGTGTCTTCCATATATAAACTATCTGAAAAAAGTCTAACAGGTCCGGGTGTCAATATTCGGGGGGGGGGGGGCTATCCTCAAGCACTTGATGGGAAAATACATCGTGAGACCGGATATAGTTCAATTCAGAGTGTAGGAACTCTTTATATAAAACATTAAAGAACGAATTAATGTATCAGTGTATGTAACGTATTCAATAGAAGAAGGGACAGCCATCCGATGATTTCCTGAAAGTGCAAAGGACGTTTTCTAAATTATAAACAGCATTATAATAATATAGATTAAGAACAAATTAAATATATTCCTAATATTTTTAATTAATAGCAGTTTATAACTAATTTCTGTTACTTTTCAGATAAAAGGACTTTTTCGCTTTTCCATGTATTCCTTCCACATTGCGATTTTTAGTCAAAGGGAATTATGAAATAAATATGCAGCTATTAGAGATATCATAAATTCAGTGGGAAATACATTAAGTAGTTCGGAAAGAAACCAAAAAAGAAAACGATCATGTCCCATTCAAAGTACGCCTCTACACCACAAACAACAAACTTAGCACGTATCTCCCGCCTGATTCTGGGCCCCTGTGCTGACGTCATGAGGGATGTGCTCCTGAAGGAGATCCCAGCAACGGACCTGTCTAAAGCCGTTAAAACTTGGTTAAAGACGCAGAAGAGGAACCCCCTTAATGTTTCACAAACTGAATTAATTTTCCCGCCACCTTCAAAAATCTACACTGGAGATTATTCAAATTTGGATATAACCTTGCTCTATACTCTCTTGCGTAATGTGACTAAGCTACCGGCACACAATCAAGGTTGGGGTAATGATCCTGACCCTACAGACAGAAGTGTATCGGCAAGTATGGAGCGAATAAGGTTCATCAGAAACAAACACTACGGACATGCTGTAGATATAGGTATACCTGATGTCGATTTCCAACTTGAGTGTATGAACATTCGCAAAATTGCCGAAGATGTTGATATCTGTTTTGGCGTTTCAAAACATCAACAATCGGTGGATTTTATCAAGACCGAAAAAATGGACCCGCAACAGGAAATCAAATGGATAAAAAAGCTTACAATATTAGGTATGACTATTGGTATGAACAATTCGTTTTTATTGCAAATCATGTCCATCTCTTTCATCACACACAATCATGTAAAAAAAAAAAAAACCAAAGAATATATTGATTTTTAGAACTACGTGTACTTAATTATCCTTTAGAAATATCATTGGTTATTTATCATTTGCTTCCATGAAGACAAACTCCCATTAAGGCATAGCTTATACTTTTTTGTGAAGAGTAAAAAAGTTAATAAAGATAATATTATAAATTGAATTCCTGAATGATCGTACCCTTATTATGCTTATAATAACAATCTTTCTAAGAGAAAGTGAATATTTTTGTCATAACTTGAAATGTAGCAGCTCCATCTATTTTGTATCTGAATAAAAACAGAACTAACATAAATCACAGCAGGGGGGGGGGGGGGTATTTTTTGATCATGTCCATATAAGGAAAGTATTCGGACATGTGAAATCTTACGATTACATATCTACATGTATACTTAGATATATGATATTTGAAAAACAAAAAATAAAAACATTAAAGCATTTATTAAGATATATGTTACGTTAGAAATATCAATGCAAATAATAAACAAACCTTGAACACCGGAGGCCCGTTTTACAAAACAACTTACGACTAAGACCAAAAACGTCAGATGATTGTAAGCGTTTGCAAAATTTATAATTCTCTTTAAAATGTTTGGTGTAAAAATATCTTTCCACATTTCTTTTAAAAAGATTAAAATAATATTGATATAATGTTTATCAAAAAGTTACACGAAGAATTAAATTTGGTCTTAAGTCGTAAGTCCTTTTGTAAAACGGGTCCCAGGGCCTTAATGTATACAGTCAACTGTAGTATAGCTATTTGTTTAAACAGAGTCACTGGTCTCAGATGTAGAACAAAACGCCGAAGAAATACAGAAACTGAAAGGTAAGTCATCGTACTGAATACAGAGTTAAATATTACCATTCAGATCTGAGAATTTTTACATAAATCTGTCAG